GCACTTTGATGCAGAATGTTGGGCCGGCTTCCACGATTGGCTTCTCTGGCTGCTTCCACTTGTAGGGCGCACGAATGTCACGAGATTTTCCCGTGCGCATGTTCTTCTGGGTCATGCTCTTGAAGTCAACCTCATAGGACTGGCCTCGAAGCTTGTACTTGGCGTGAGGGAAACCGGCAAGGTATGCGCGCTTCAGGATCTTGTCTTCATTCCCTTTGTAGTCCTGGCTGGGCGAGCACTTGTGTAATGTCGCCAAAACCTTTAAAGACATATGCAAAGTCCAAGTCCTTCCAGTTGCCAGACAGTTTCACTTGGAAGTGGTCTGCGGGCATCTTTTTGTCCTGGCAAACACAAAAAATTTGGCAAATGTTTATTTACCACGCACGGACGCACCTGCGCTCAGTTTCGTTGCTTCTCTAGGACACGATGCTACTTTCGCGCTTGATCCAAAATGAACCTGAGCGTTTTTGTTCAACTGAAACAATAAAACACGTGCAAACAAATGCAATATATTGTGCAAATTGAAGACCCACAATATATTCCAATGCTGAAAACCGCAGGTGATGACGCCGAGCACAAGCACAACAAAGCATGCACAAAGGAATGAGACGGTGCACAGCTGCACCAACGGCATCGTTTGCCCAGGGGGCTGTGGCCAAAACTTAACTTTTGTCAAGCATCACTCCGCGTGACTCCGCAAGAGATTGTCAGTCTTATGCAGCGACATCAGACAGAGGAAACCAAGACCATGGAAGCCACTTCGAGAGGCTAGACTATGGAGTGATTCAATCTCTATTCCGTATACTATTCCTGACCACGTGTCCAAATGTCGATTCCAGTCTCTCAAACCATGCGAAATGGCCCTCGTTGCGGTACACCGCAACATTTGACGACCGCTTTGGCAGCCCTAAACTTAGGCGGTTCACGCAGTGGTCGTTCAAAGGGGAAGCAATGTGCATCCTGAATTTTCTACATGACCCTCCGAATGGTTTTCGGTTAGAATTTTGGAAACCTACATATTCT